ACTAATCCTAAAAGTTTACATTCAATCGTTAATGATATAAAGATTAAACAAGTTTCGATGAATAAAGCTAGGTTTCCTAAAGCTCCAGGTGAGTTTTCTCTTTTGCCATCTCCCCTCTCTTTCTTTGTTCTTTTTTTGCGTATAATAATGGACGGTGATAATAGGTGGCGCACTTGTACACGACGGATTCCAATCCACACAAGGAAAAACTTCTAAAGTCGTTTTGGCAGAAGTTGTAAACCTTATTCATGGAGGTTTTCAACGTGTAGTTGTTACTGGTACGTTTCAGACTCGGAAATCCACTTTCCATTCTCTTTTCTTTCCTCGATCACTCATTATCATTGGAACTTAATAGGACATTCACTCGGAGCAGCGATAGCTTTATTAGATGCTGTCATGTTACGAATGAATTTACCTTCTTCAGTTCATGTTGATTCTGTCGTATTTGGATTACCTAGGGTTGGAAATCAGGCTTTTGCTAATATGGTTGATTCTATCGTATGTTTTTTCCCTCCGCTCTCCTCCTTCCTTTCTCTCCATCATCTCGCTATATTGATACTAATAATATTGTTTTTTTGTGCTGTTTTTTGTTTTATGGTGGTAGCTCCCTGGATTCACACGCGTCTCAAACCAAAACGATCCAGTCACAGTCATACCATTAATAGCTATGAAATATAGACATCCTTCAGGAGAATTTCATATTTCTTCTGTTGGTAAAGATGGAAAGACGGCTGTTATGCATGCTTGTACAGGTCAAGAAGATAAGGTACGAGTACATTTATCTCATTCACTACTCCTCCTCCTTTGAATAATTTGCTTACTATGCTTTTTTTTGAATGAAGAGCTGTGAAGATGGATTTAAAGCTTTGAAACTTTCGGTTTCGGATCATATTGGACCTTATTTTGATGGGATTTCGTTTGGACATGGTGCTTGTCCGGCGTAGCAAGTAGATGTCAATTATCGTCCGAAATATTACCAAGTGATTTTATACTGGCTGGTTATGGTGGAGGGTCGTAGAAGGTCAGAAATGAAATGATAATAATGATAGGAATAATAGCATACCAAGCTCATTGTTTTCCTTATCCTCAATATGCATACATGTGGATAATTTTGTATCTTCGGCTCAGAGTTCTGATTCAGAAGTATCGTCGCAGATTCGTGGTAATTGAATCGAGAATAAAAATTATCAATCGGATATGGTGTAGTGGCTAACATTATCGCCTCTCACGCGATAGCCCGGGGTTCGATTCCCCGTATCCGAAGAGTTTTTGCTTTCGATCCTGTACCAACTCAACTTCCCCGAGACATTCCAGGTTCTCAAGGTTAGACTTACTATTAAATGCTCTTTTCTATTCTTTGTATTTGTTGTGTTTAGATTTCAGAGAACTTGACTGAAAGCTTTATACTAATAGTTATGCTTCAGAGCAGTACGGTAAGTCTTGTTACACCGGTCTATCACATGAATACTGCAGCATACATAGGCTCGGAATCCATGGTAATCTTCCGCTCTTCCTCTCCTTTTCACGATTAACTTCATTATCATTATTAGATATGCATGCGGTCCCGATATGATAGAATCAAACAGTTGACAGAATCTTCATGCATTATATCAAAGAAGGTACATTCTTGTGATTGTACATCTAACTTTGAAAGTTTCCAAATCCTGAGAACCTTGAACCTTTAACGGGTTACTTGGTATATCGTAAGTTTGTACAGTGTTTGGTGCTCACCCTGTACTGACCGTACTACTACCCCACCCCCCTCCCCATTACGTTTTTGTTTATGATCTTACACTTAGGCATAACTTGAAATTCGATAGGTTCTTACCTCCGCTAATACTGTGAATGGAGCGGTATTCAACTTAGACGTAGTAGTATCGGATTCTCGGAAATTGAGGAAGAGGAGGCCACAATCCGAGCCGAAGCGGACCGCTGTCAATTTGAATGATGGCAAATCAATTCGAGCCGCTCTGCTCCTAGTCTCATATCTCGTGAATGGCACTCAGGCTAGGCTCATTCTACATTCAATTGAACCTCGCAGTAGTATATTCGATTCTATGAGGACGCACTGTGATATTCTATCAAGTACAAAAAAGACTCATAACCACCAGAATAGCCGTATATCGGAAGACACGGAGAAGTTGATCCTTGAATTCACCAGCACGCCAAGCTGACGAAGTCCTCATGAAAAAATTCATCATCATGTATGTTTTATTGCTTCATTGTCATTCTTCTCATTGCTATTCATTGATGATCTTTGTTCCAAGAATTTCCGTTCAAACTCGGGTGCATTGCCTTTCTCATTGGAGGCAGGTCCGCAAAGCCCTCCATCAAGACTCCAGAGTGCTCCTCCAATCTTTTTATATCAAATTTCTAGTTCGGTATTCACTCTGAAGATTCTTAGCGGAGAGAAGTTGAATTGAAGAAGCATGTCTCTTATAAAGAGAGTTGCCACTGCAATCACTGCCATTTGGAGAACGGACGCTGGATTTTCAGTATTAATTAGTCGACCCTGAGATTCAAATGACGATTGCCCGTATTCAGTTACGTTCCCCCCTAGTGCTCTACTATGTCTGCCCCTGCCACTAGCTCCAGTCCAACACCCGTGGTCCATCTAGATAATACGCTAGGTGCAGAGCTTGTCGGTTCGTGTTCAACACAAGTTCAAATCGAGGCTTTGAATCTCATTCTCAATACGCTGATATCATCTACTGTAGGTGCCCTTGTAGCAACATTGTGAGCTCAGGATGTCATGCAACTTAAGGTTAGGCGGATAGCTGATCATTCCTCTTGTCTCTTGTCTCAGCTTATCAGGCATCGGCACTCTGCAAACTTATATTTACTTCTTGAACACGGGAAAACACGACAGCATATGGTTTAGGCTATTTGTACGTCTCTCGATCGAGATGGTTTGTCTTATTTTTTCTTATAAACTGATGTGTCGATTTATAGATTGCCTTTCTTTGGGTTATGGATATAACCTTGCTCATATTTGCAACGAATGCAACATATACCACACTCGTTACTGGTTTCGGAGATTTTGTAACTTTGTCAAAAATTAAGTGGTGAGCAACTTATTCACTCGGATATGAAAACCTGATCTCATTCCAGCACTTTTCGTCACGTATCGAATCTAGGGGATCATCGGTATGACGTTTCGTAGAATTTTTAACGATACAACAGATGCTGAATTTTGTACCCTTCTTCGCTTGTGAAGGCCTTTCTCATCGCGTCGGTGAGTGTTCCCTGAGTCTAATAGCAACCCTTCGTCATCGAGACCCTGATTCGTATCAACATCTTTCAGGTCACCGTGGAATGGATGATCAGATTGTGGGTCACATCATGGGCCAGACTCAGTTATGTCTACTAACAACCATCTACTACACAGGGTCTTCATTCATCGTGTATGGAAATGTAAGTAACCTTCGTATCAGGGTGATATCATCTGTCTGTCAGTACTAACGCTTCTTTCTCTCAGTATGCAACAAACTTTACGTCGCGATTTTTCTCGTAAGTGTTGTCTTCCCTTATTCACACGTGAATCGACGTTGAACATCATTTCTACAGGCAATACTCAACTGTCTCGTCTTTGGTTTGTCATTCTCGTTTCTTCACCGATGAATCTGTAGTTCACCGTGTAATTTCAACTTGCCATCACCATGACTTTCGTTGTTCAGCTGTCGGACTTGGTAAGTATTGTCCCCTCGTACCACTTCCAATCCCTGACTATCATTTTTTCCTAGTGAATGGAATCAAATTGTAAGATTTCATGGAAGAGACAAAATAACTGTATCTGATATTTATGCTCATCTCAATAGTGCTCTGATCGGAGACTTCTTGCTCCTCAGTGAAATGGAGGTAGGTTTCAATTGAACCTTTCTGTCACGTTGTACTCACCATTGATCCATACTCTACAGTGGATTTGCGAATGGCTTTTCATAATGCAAGTCATCACCGACACATTAATCGCTGTCGCTATGTGTTTCCTCCTTTGGTCGATGAAGAATCGAGTGTCTCAAATTCGGTGAGATTTCCTTGATTCATATCTTCACTCTACTGAGCATTTACTCATCTATATACTTACAGAACGAGAAGTCAGATCGACATGTTGATTCATTACAGTGTGAATACTGGGATTGTCACAAGGTGATTGCTCATGTTGACATGAAAAACCCGATTTCACGATTCTGATTCTTTATGTCTAGTGTCTTTGCGATCGCTGTACTCATCACGGTAAGATCTTGCGAAACCCATTCAAATGTCACTCAAACGAAAGATCGCTTAATGGTTCTCTTTTCGAAGCACATGACTATGCCAACTAATCTCGTCTACGGCGGGATTTACTTCACGTTACCTAAAGGTAAATCCAACATCGTTATCATTAATACACTATCGCCCTCGTTGCTCACGATGCGGTTCAAATCTTCAGTTTATCACAACGCTATCATGGGTCTTCTCAACGCTCGAAGTTACATACGATCAGCAGCAGCATCGAAAGATTCATCCGAGAAGGAGTGGAACTCGATTCATATACCACCAAGCACAATGGCTTTCAAACATACTATCTCGGATTCAGATAGTACCAGTCGAATCGAACCATCTTCTGCTTCAGGTCACATCCAGGCTGGACAAGCATGTGCTGTAGAGCTTGGATCCTTGAATGAAGATGAAAGGAAATCTCCTACCTCTCCTGGATACACCACATCACCTGCATTGGTCAAATTGAACTGGCTAGGAAATAAAGAGGGTGTTTGAAGTGTAAGCTACCGGTGGAATTGAAGTTAGGCAGAAAACTATGAGTTGAAGGGTGTTGTTGTAGAGTCAATTTATTTCTTTTGCTTCTTTTGCTCAACCTCATTCAAGTGTTAGTATACTCTACATTATATACCTCCATAAAATGATCTTGTATATGTATGATTACTAGAATCTGAACCTCTTCCGTATTCCTAGCACCTGACCAGTCGTTCTTACATGATTACTAGTGAATGCTCTTTACCATGTCCCTGGTAGTATATCGGCTAGTACACGCGCCTGTCATTTGACTGAACGGTTATATTGCGCGCGCGCGAAAGCGGGGTTCGACTCCCCGCCAGGGAGTACCTTTTTGCTTCCTCATTTTTCATTGAGCTTCGTATGCTCATTTCACGAATCCGATAAAAATAGCGTCTTTACATCAAGCTCCCAAACGTTTTCAAGATACATGATGATGATCCACTACCGATGCCATTTCTATCTTGTCAACGTCACTCTCTGATTCTTTAGTCACAGGAAAACCAGACACTGCGATATCCTGAACATCTCCCGAATTCCAGAACTGGATATGGCTAGGGGCGATGGAAGCAACAACACCATCGGTTGGCGCAACCGTCACCGTAACTGTCCGATTTGGTGGATTATACGTTCGGAATTTGAGGAAAGATCGAGTCCCAGTAGATTCTGAAGATTCTGATACTTCGGTACGTAATTGTGTACTCAGCATGATAGTTTCAGATCCTTCCAGTATTCCGAGTTTAATCTGTCGGAATACCATACATGCCATGGCATTTTGAACTCCTATGTTCACGACTGGAATAATGGCTCGATAAACGGGTGATGTTGAAGGAGCTAGTCCAAACGCCATGGTGAATATGTTCACACTTGCCGTAGCTCTTCAACCCGGGTGTAGGTTGTTTAGTATTTGTCATGATGTTGGAATAAAAGATAGATGCACTTACAGGTAATAGACTTGTCCGCCTTTGAGCAAAATGCGAGTGACATGACCATATCCTTCTCCACTGAAGAACGTTCGGAAACGTCGGGAAGGAGCTAAATGGCCGATATACCAAGTTAACTGAGCACTGATGGCCAAGTATACAAGTGTATCGTTGATGGCTATGAGAAGGAATCCTATGGAATTATATGTTCGAAAGTTCAATTCGATGCAGTTGAATGTTGGTCCGATGTGAATGGCTTGGGCATTGATCAGAACGACCAAACTGCAAAGAGTAGAGAGCCAAAGAAGGAAGAAACCCCAAACGACGATTCGGTGATTAAAGAACACCGCCCGAATGCGATAGAAGAGGAGGAGGGAGTTTATAGGCATGGCGAGAGCTCCGGTGATATCGACAAATCTCAAGAGTATCTCGCAGTTTTCCACCGGATGAGCTAACACAGGGATGAGAACGGGAGGAGCATAAAATCATATTTTGGAGGTTGGCTTACCCAAGAACACGAATGTTGAAGTGAGCAACGCTAGCGTAACTAATCTAGTACGAGAGATAAATTAGACATTATGAATATTTTGGAGAAAAGAATGCATTTTACCGTGCCAGAATGTAGCAAACGTCCGGAATACCGAGGCTTCTCGAACGGATACTTTTTGAGAACATCTGATATTCTTCGGGCAAAGACATCAGATAATTACAAGCCCATGCCTGGGAGAGGAGAGAAGTCAGCAAGTGCACAAGAATGGAGAACGAGCATGTAATTTAACTCCAACTGAAGCTGAAACAATGTAGTTCGCATTTTGCATCTCGGAGGAAATGTCAGGAGGTAGCCATGCAAGAGGAGTCAAAGGGTTTGGAGGAGAGGGAAGAGACGGCGTAGCGGTAGCCATAGCTTGAGTGAAAGTGGCGAGATCGTCGACAGCTCCGCTGTATTTGTAGGTGCAATATTGCAGCACTCACCTCAGCTTCTCAGAGGCAATGATCCAAAGCTATTTTAGCTGGCACTCTAAACGCGATATGTCCATCACGGGAGCATCAGCAGGGTTCCTTTACTGGCACCGTGAAGAAGGGAGCACTTGTGCATACATAGTGTACATGGACACCCATGCACATTGTAGATATAGCTATCAAGGGTCTCGTTCAATTCATAGATCCGGGCCTGTGCACAATCACCAATCCAGAGTGACGGCGAGCCTGATTATCGATAGTACTCGATGAAATAGGCGTCGCGATTTTCAGACCTTTTCACCACAGTGTCTAAATTTGTATCGCGCGCTCGAGCCAGCCCTATCGATAACTTTTCGCAACTTGAACGGTCAGTAGTAGTGGCCACATGTTGAGAGCTTCTCTGAAAGGATGCAATTGTATTGGATGCGTGCTGTGATGACGAAGACGAAAGCCAGGGTATTTGGGAGTAAAACTGAATTGACTTGCTATAGTTACTGAATTACAAGTATTGTCGAAGTCCACGCCACAAATACGAAATCCAGAGGAAGAGGAGATTCTTGTAAGGTACTCTAGCCCTTAGAGTGTTTCATGAAGAGTTTTCGTAATATCCTTCTGAAAACGACAGACGTACGCCGCCAATTCTTCATCCGGGAGCGTTGAATGATCAAGAGCTTGAGTAAGTTGGGTCCGAAGCTATTTGAATTAATATGCCGACGACATTCCCAGAAAGTGCCAAGAGGGGAAGCAGAGCGGGCAGTGAGAAAATAGACCGAGGACAGAGACACAAGATCATATATCACCCGCAGTAGAGCCTTTCGGCGGATCGCTATCTTGTTTGTCTTGCTGTCTTCTTCCTTCTGTGTCTCGAGTTCCGTAAGTTTCTCTGCCACTCTCCTACCTTCAGTCAAAACGTCATCCGGGAGATCCGCAAGAGTAGCAAGATCAAGACCTAGATTAATAGTGAACACAAAATTTTGCAGAAAGGTTGAGGTCAGCATAATCAACCATAATGGTCCATGTTTTCGGGAGAGCCATCGATGATTCTACGTAGGGTTGGGTTATAAATCACGTATAGAAGGCTGAAAACGACGGGGTGACATACTTGTATTGAAAGCGTAGACCAAACGTTGAACTCGTTCGGCGAGTTTTCTGCGCTTGTAAGTTGAATCAATCACTACAATTCAGGTGCGAAGGATCAAACCTGAACAGCCAGATGCAAACTGGAAGAAGCCGTGGGTGTTCCGGAAAGCAACAATGATTGCGTTGACTTACTTGACGACACAAGGTTGACGAGATAGCGTCGTCACGAGCTCGTTGAAGTGTCTAGTCAAAATCAGTATAGCATACACCGTCCAGTCAAAATTTAGATTACGTCGCAAAGAACACATAGCACTGCGAGAAAGTAGGTAAACCAACACCTTTAGAGTAGTAATGTATTGAACGCACTTTGAGCGCGATGAGACTCTCTGCGATCGCATGAGAAATGCCAACTCCTTCCACAGGGGATGTTCCTCGCCCAACTTCGTCGATTAAGATCAAGGAGTCAGAGGTGGCAATACCTAATAGATCAATCAGCCAAGCTAAAGAAGCACAAGGAGTGAATGAGATCATACCAAGAATCATAGCAGAAGATGCCATCTCATTAGCAAATGTACTCAAACTCTTCTCCATGTCATCATCATTGGACAAACGAGTCAAGAGCGCATCATGTAGTCTTTGAATGATCATCAACAGGATTATGAATGGGCGAATGAGGTGAAACGGGACGTACTTAAAGCTGCCATACTCAGCGGGCACGAAACAGCCACAAAGGGCCATCACAGTGAGCAAACCAATTTGCCGAAGATATGTACTTTTCCCTGAACAGAACAATGATAACACCCTTCCAGAGAGTTTGTATTGGAGCGCACCTGACATACTGAGAAACGTCAATGAAACAAAGCAGAATGAGATTTCAGCTCGACTGACTTTGGTCCCTGGACGACTTGAAAGGATGTTGCCTCGCAACAATATACGTCATTAGGAACTGTTGAGCCAGCCGATTGTACTGTTTCAAGGATCGGATGACGACCTGCTTTAATGGCCAGCGTTCCAGTGAATTCTGGGCGAACTGCTCCCACAAGTTATAGATTAAATATATAGGATTGTCCTTGAAGACATACCGTAATTTCGAACTACGATGAACGTTGTGAGCGAGAGATTGAACGCAAAGTAGTGGTGCTTACTGATTGAGACGTGAGCGAATGACCATAGCATGTCGAGTAATGCAACAGCTTCAGAAGCCTTGTAAAGTGCCCCGATGTCACCAACGATGTCGTCCACAAGCCCTTGAATTACGCTATTCAAACAGCTCTAAGAAACTTATCTCAAGAGAAGAGAAAGCTAAGAAGGTCAGACCGATCGCTCAATATAAGTGTCTCGTCGAGAGCGTCTTTAAGTCGGGCATTCCTTTGTTTCTGGGTTGTACGCCTTTAAGTACTTCCAATTTACGAATTTAGATATAAGTGATAGCATGTACTCACCAGCTCCAGGCTAGAGAATATCCATTTCCCTTTTTTCAAAACAATATTGATGAATCCTGTAGGAAGTTCGCCTTCAAGGTCATTCTTCTTCAGTTGGAAAACGAATCCAGTTTCCTGTTGATATACTAGCATCAGTGGAAGACTATGTTTTCTACTTAATTCCTCGTTGAGAGCAAATATGTCCGAAACGTTTTCTTTGTATGTTTCCCGAGCAACATCTAGAAGGCGATTGTAGTTTGCCTATTACTCGATATAATGAGTCGGCATCAAAAAATATCTAAAATTTCACGCACCTTGACTGCATACACTTTGGTGGTAATGGCGCCGAGTCCACCCTATTACAGATAAAGCAGAAGAACATATGAGGCAAGGAATCGAACATCCGTACCTTGTTGGGAGCTGCCTGATCGTTCAAGCTATCGTCAATCAAACGTTGGATTTTTTCCAGTCGAGAGTCGGATATCATCTAGAGGGGTTTTAGTTCAACGAGGAAGTGAACGATAAAAGATATTATTGATCTTTCCAAACCTCGTGAATGATTTGGAACAGTTGTGATCTGCTGCCATCCAGAGCTTTAGCGAGGAGGGGAACGTTCTTAACAACACTCCTCAATTGGAGCATCTGAGTGACGCGAGTAGCAGCAATTTTCGAATTGGTGGTTTCGGAGCTCTCATAGGATGCAAGCTGGAGATAGGTTTAGATGACAAGGTTTTACGACGTACCTGATGAGCACTCACAGAAACAATCAGTTTATCGAAATCAAGTTTATTCAAAGTTTTGAGGCCATCTTTGATTAGAGTAAACCTCTCTTCACTTTGTACGAGTTCTTAAGAAAAAGATTAGCTTCGAAAGTCCTCTAACTGAATAATAGACTTACCTTCGACGACGTCAAGCCTAGCATCAATTGCACCCTGAGCTGATT